ATTTTACAGAGACAAACAGGACAAACAACCATTCACACACACTGACACCTAAGGAGAATTTAGAGAAGCCAGTTAGCCTAACAGACAAGTTGTTGGACTGTGGGAGGAAGCCAGAGAACCCAGAGAGAACCCATGCATATACAGGGAGAACATGCAGAAAGACCCCGGGCCACTGAACAGCCTAATACCCAACATGTTTAATTTAATTAATAATCATCAACCCACATCATATAATCTGCTTTTTCTATCAAAAAATACTTTAACTACACTTTTTTTATTTACTTGTGCTCTTCTAATTTCATGCTCTAGAAATAGTGTTGGATCATTAGTACTCCTCCCTTTCCAAAAACCGCTGTGATATTTTGACATATGTCCTTTATTATTTAAATAACACACTAGTCAGTTATTAATCATTTTTCCATTATTTTGCATAGATTTGATGTTAAAGCTTTTAAGCGATTTAAAATGACAATTTCAAATCAATAAACAGTAGCCAGTTTATTTACAAGTTAGGGTTGTTTTTTTAAATCATTGCTCCAGTTCACATTCATTACCAGCAGGGGCGCTAACGATAAAGGTCTGGAAGCAGAAGAAGAAGAAGCAGCAAACGCAGAAGAAGAGAAGACAACAACAAGATGGCGGACAGTGCATCCAGCATCACTCCTGGACAGCTAGCAGCTCCAGAAGGCGAACAGCTGAAGTTATCGGAGCTGTTGGACCGCGGCTGGAAGATATTAGAGGAGTTGGACAATTCAACGGAACCGTTTGGACCGGAAACCATCCGCCGCGTTCAGCGCGGGGTCAGCTTGTTGGAGCAGGCGGCCGGGATGGTCGCTCAGCTCGAGCTGTTCAGCAGGAACGAGGAGCTGGAGGAGGTTTCCACGGCGGACCTGAAGTACCTGCTGCTGCCTGCCCTGCTGGGAGCGCTGCGGCTTAAACACAGCGGCCAGCATCAGAGGCTCGAGACGCTGCGCGCGGCTCGGCTCTGCTTCATGGACTTCCTGAAGAAATGTCAGGATTACAACGTCTGCCAGTTCCAGCTGCCCTCCGCTGCAAACGGCCTTTCTGAGGGCGACGCCCCTCCAGCCCAGGTACCCGACCCGCTGCTTCCGGTCCGGCTACGGTCCGGTGGACCTGCTAATGGAGGGCTGGAACCACGGGGTCCCTCAGGTTCTCCCTGGGGAACAGGGGCGGTGGGGGCCCTCAGGAACGGGGGCCCTCAGGTTCTCTCTGGGGAGGGGGAGAGGCTCTGAGGAGCAGGGGGGCCCTGAGTGAGAAACGGGGGAACAGTTCCACCTGTCTCTGATTCGAACCCTGATTGTTAGCAGAATCAACTTTTCAGCACAGCGTTCAACGTGACAGCATGAGACTCAGTCAGTTTTCGTGTTGTTCCTCCTTTGTTTGAAGGACACACCCTTTATTATACACGAGTGTGTTAAATTAGACAGGTCACATGATGTGAAAAACAATCATCCAATAATGATCAAAACAACAACAAATGAGAGCACAAAAACATTCATAATGTCAACACTGATATAATGATGTTCTTCTGGTCTCAGTCTTCCTCCGCAGGCCCACCCAGCCTGGTTGCCATGGCAGCCAAGAGGCAGTCTAAAATCGAACGGTATCGACAGAGGAAGGAGCTGGAGGCCAGACTGTCAGAGGTTCGCAGACTGGTGGAGAGCGGCCAGGCGGACGACGAGGCCAGCAGAGAGTTCTACCTTCTGAACATCCAGCGGTGGGTCGGCGTGTCTCTGGAGGAGATGGAGTCCATCGACCAGGAGCTGGAGATCCTGCAGAACATGGACGCCCTGAAGCAGAGTTCTGCTCATCCAGCGGCGCAGTCGTCCAGGAGGCCCATGAAGCCCTTTGTCCTCACCAGAGATGCTGTGCAGGTGAGTCTGAACCACAGCGCTAACGTTAGCTAGCCTCCTGACTAGCAGCATCCTACGGTTGGTGTGTTTTTGACCCCATGATGGTTTCTCTCTGCTCACATTAGAGCTTCCAGCAAACACTGAATGGAAGCCACTATAGAGGCCTGGTGCTGGACCCGGTGGACCGGTACCGGTTCTAGCTGACACCTGTTTGACATCTGTTTCGCATTTTCATCCGTTTATAGATCTGACTGAAGCAGTGATGATTATTTTCAGTCACAGGCTTTTAAAATGTTTGCTCCAATACTTTTTGTTTTCCAGCCGTGTTGAGGAATGAAATGGGATTTAAAATTGGACTGGACTGTTGCTGATTGATATTACGGCGAGCAGCCCTTAAGGCTGCTATCATTGGAAGCTAGAGGCTCTGACCTGAACAAGGGGCTGGAGGTCATTGCCTGACCATTGCTGGAGAACTAACAGCAGCGTTCTCTGTGCATAAACTCTACCCAATCAGCTACAGGAGACGGATCACCTGACCGCTGCTGTAAGACCCATCTGTATCCGGCTTTACGTCAGGCGCTCAGCTTAACGTCGGGCGTTCAGCTTTACGTCAGGCGTTCAGCTTTACGTCAGGCGTTCAGCTTTACGTCAGGCGTTCAGCTTTACGTCAGAGGTCCGGCTTTACGTCAGAGGTCCAGCTTTACGTCAG